GCTGACTTGTTGTATTGATGTAGTTTGGGGGGGGGGGGGGGGGGTTGTTGCGTCAAGAGGAAATGCCTTGTGATCGTCCTCCCCTCCTTCTCACAAAAGCTCGAAGTAACCATTCTGCATTTCAATGGACTAGCCTGCACCTGATATGGAGCAAGGACGATAGAACAAAAACAAGGCAAAATGAAGCAATGGGCTTGGAGATGAATAAAACTACTCCCAGTCCTGCATGATGGATCAATTCAACAAGTCAGACAAAAAGAGTTTGATGCTTACCCATTCTGAGATCGGCTGCTTCTCAAGTCCTCTGTCAGATCGCCATCAATGCCGGGGCACAATCTCTGAAGTGGATCTTAACGTTAGCTGAGGCATAGGTGCAACCGTAGTGTTGAGGAATGCGGCCAGTCGAGATTTTTCATAGAGGTCTTATTCATGAGTGGGTGCAGAAAAAGAGGTTTCAGCGCAGCATCTGAGCCATGCCTGCAGCTGGCCACAGCCTCAATTGTCTGAGAAAATGCTAATGCAGGCTCTGAGTGTTTTCAGTGAAAGACGGCACGCATTGTTCAAGCCTGCATCAGTTTTTTTGGGGGGTGGGGTGGGGGGGTCTTCCCTGCCGCATCACCCTTTTCACTGCTCTCATCCATATTCATCGAGTGGCATGTCCGTCTGCAGCAGCGGGCAGGACTGACATCTTGGTTGGCCAATAACTGGCCTCCTCTCCGCAGTACGTCATGCCCCCCCCCCCCCCCCCCCAACGCCGGTCCCCAAAAAATTGAATTTTTCTTTACTACTCCGCCTCTTTTGACGCAGCACTATAAAACATGGCAGTCCATTCAGCGACTGTTTTTAGAGAAAAGTGACAAAGGTGAAGCATCCGAGGGAGTGGACAGAGCACCGCCTGAAGAGGGAAGAAGAATGACCTTCAGCAGTGGCCAAAGAACTGCACAGAGAACAAGGAGGAGGAGTGATAGTAGACTGTGAGCTTTACGCCACCCACCCTCATTTCCCCCACCCCAATCCCATGCACGGCCATGTTTGAGAGGGCGGAGGGGCTCATCAACCATTGCAAATGGCAGTGCCGCAGAATGGTGGAGGGTGGTGATGAAGCCAATCACTACGTCTATAAATCTTACATCGAGAGGTATCTTAAGTGACCAACGTGTGTAAAACCTGGATTGTGCTTGTGTTCAAGTACCAGTGAGTGGACATAGAGGGGGGTAGCTTTATTTAATAGTTCTTTCCAGGGAACCTGCACAAAATGAACTCTCTTCTCTTTTGGATTTTGAATACTTTCATCCACACATTAAAGCCAAACACCAATCGTCAGCGAATGCTTCCAGAAAATTCTAATGCCTCAGTCACAAAGACGCTCTTGACACAATCGCAGCTTCCCTGTGGATTCAGCTCTCTCTCAGGAACTAACCGGCTCCTATTTTCTTTTTGCTTTGCTCTGTCTTCATTTCTTTCTCTCCCTCCTATCCTCTGTTTCACTGCCACCTGGCAAATTCACAGTCCGCTCACGTCACACCGCTCTGCAAGGGCACCTGTGTCCTTCCCACCAAAAAATTAAAATAAATATATAAATAAACAAAAAACAGCTCACATTCCTGTGCCAACCTTTCCATTAGCAACATAACAAGATCATACATAACTCCCCCACAGTCACAACCTTTTGGTAGGTGTGTGCCTGCCAGCAGCATGAGCTCAGAGGACAGTTAAAGGAAAATGAATGAAAGATGTTCATTTTCAGGAGAGTGGGGCAGTGATGATAAAAGAGGAGTATTTTTTTCTCATTCTGTGTCCATGGCTCCTAATGCACATGGAGGGGCTGAGCTCTAAAAGAGCACAATCTTTCTTCTCTTTGTGGGAAGTGCCAGTCATGTTAATGATCTGTTGGGTTGAAATAACATGATCAATATCAGACACAGTCAAAGGGGAGCTGATTACAGGGAAAGCTGACAGGATTAGCAGGCTGTCCAACACTGCTGTGGCCTACCACTGCTACAATAATCACATTCAACTAATTCATCATTAGATTGTGTCAAAATGAAACATTTCAGGCAGAAATAGCCTAAAAAGGCATTTCACAAGATTTTATTAATAAATTACAGTAAATATAGGAGGTGCAATAAAGAGTCTATAGACAGTTTTTACAGAGTGGAAATATTTTATGTTCAGACCACATTATAAACTATACACTAAAACATTTTTTGAAAAAGATTTTGAAAGGTGGCCGATATTCCAACATCCCTCATTTCTCTTCTCTAAAGACCATCAGTAATTAGTCTTTCTTTGATACAGTATATGCAAGCCTGACCAAATGTAGATGGTTTGATGAAAAAAAAACTGTACAAAAAGTGTCTGGAAAAAACAAGATAAAAAAAAAGTAAAAATAAAGCTGCTACCAGTAGCTTGCTGTGATCACCATGGTAACCACACACATATGTCTAGCCCTGACAACACTCTTAATAAGACAGGCAGATGAAAAGTAAAAAAAAAAAAGCACCAATAAGAGTGACTGAATAAACTACCGGTATGTCATATCAACAAAATTCCTAAACTGTAAGAGTCAGAGCTTGTGGTCATCACACACCTGTGTTTAAAGTGTTTATGTAGGAAAGATGACAAAAACCTTCAGTTTTTAAAATGAAACACTGAGCTCAGATTCAGTGGACTCTACACTCTGGGGATTATAAAGACAACCATAGAAGTAAGAGACAAAGTGTTGAACAACCCAACACCGTCCCCCCACCCCCACA